GGAGCCACACGCAAGTGTGAGTAACGATCCAAGAGCGAGTCTCATCCGACACTATTCCGAAGATATCCCGGACGTCAGTCTGAGCGAGATTAGAATGGCTCTCCAGCACCTAAAAAACGGCAAGGCCTCAGGCGAGGATGGAATTACAGCGGAGCTTCTGAAAGCGGGTGGAAGACCGGTACTTGAAGTCCTTCAGAATCTCTTTAATTCCGTCCTCCATGGTGGCATTACACCGGAGGCGTGGAGCAGAAGTGCGGTGGTCTTGTTCTTCAAGAAAGGTGACAACGCTCTCTTGAAGAACTACAGACTGATTTCCCTTCTAAGCCGCGTCTACGTGCTGTTTTCGAGATATATTATGTAATAATCCATATTGAATAAAAATCATACTATTCTATTCTATTCTGTCCATTCTGTATTTTCCCAGGAAAATACCTTTGTCCTGGGAAGAACCAGCAAGAAACCCAGCGGGACTTCTTTTTAAACATAATTTCACTTAACAATAATTTTGTTTATACAATTTTAAATGAATTATCATAGAACCAGCATGGTGGCGATCACCTTATTCCCAGGGGTTATTTTCATTCATGTTTTCCTTGATATTATAATTACCCTTTTTGTACAGTTTTTCTTTAATAAAACTTTTAAACTTGTTTATTGACAAACTTTGAACATGTTCTGGGATTTTGTTGTAAAAGCGTAAACATTGCCCCATAAATGAATTACTAATTCTGTGGAGTCTAGTATGTGACATTACAAGTTTATGTTTGTTCCTAGTGTTTAAGGTATGAACATCCTCATTCTTATTAAAGCTATTTATGTTTTTATGTACATACATTACATTTTTATAAATATATTGCTATGCCAAAGTTAATATGTTTATTTCTTTAAATTTTTCTCTAAGAGAATCTTTACAATTTAGATTATAGATCGCCCGTACGACCCTCTTTTGCAAAACAAATATAGCTTCAATATCAGCCGCATTACCCCATAGCAAAATTTCATAAGACATTACGCTATGAAAGTAACTAAAATACACTAACCTAGCTGTCTCAACATCTGTGAGACTTCTAATCTTTCAGAACTAAGTCTGCTTGCTAATTTAGATATATGGGGGCCCCATTGAAGTTTCGCGTCAATAGTAATACCGAGAAAAACAGTGGTATCCTCAAGACTCAACTCCTCCCCATTTAAGAGCACATTGGTTTTCGAATGTTTTACATTAGGTATTGTAAATTTAATACATTTTGTCCTATTGCCGTTTAAGAGCAAATTGTTGGCGTTAAACCAATGTACTAGTTTCGATAGAGCATTATTTAAATCGTCATATTTAATTAACTGCCGTTTCAGTTTGAAAATTAAAGAGGTATCGTCAGCAAATAATACTATATCGTCATTGTCCCCTACAAGATAAGGTAAGTCATTAATATAGATTAAGAACAGGAATGGGCCAAGAATCGAGCCCTGAGGAACGCCCATTGATACTACCGATCCGGAGGAACATTTACCATTAATGACGACTTTTTGAGTTCTGTTACTTAAATATGAAGTAATGTATCATGTTAATGTATCATGATGAACACAATCGAAAGCCTTGGAAAGGTCACAGAAAATACCTAAGGCATCTTGTGAATTCTCCCAGGCATTAAAAATATATTTCATAAGCTCAACACCGGCGTCAGACGTCGAGCGATCCCTTGTAAAATCAAATTGATTTTTATGAAGTAATTTATATGAATTAAAAAAAATTAACAATTGATCCAAAATTATTTTTTCTAAAATTTTACTGAGAGTTGGTAGTACAGAAATAGGTCTATAATTAGCGGGGTCCAATGTACTACCAGATTTAAATAAAGATATTACTTTACTATACTTCATTAAATCAGGAAACACACCAGAATCGATACAAGTATTAAAAATAATAGCAAGATGAGGTGCAATTAAATCTATTATGGACGCAATCACTGTAACGGAAATTCCCCACAAATCTGCGGTTTTCTTTACATCAATGGCTTTGAAGTATTTTACAATATTATGCGGTAATACTTTTTCAAATCTAAATTCTTTTAAACAGGTATTAACATTCTGTTTAAGTAAAGACTCGGCGACAGTTGAAGAAGTATTCAATGACTCTGTTGTCAAGATAGGAACATCAGTGAAATATTTCTCAAACACCGCTGCAACTTCTTGATTTGATTTAGTCAATTCATTATTAATTTTTAATTTATGTTTGAGTTACGAGGTTTCTCTTTACCGGTTTCGCTGTTAATTTTACTCCACGTCATTTTAATTTTATTCTTAGCCGTCTTAATTTTGTTACTAATATGTAATGATTTGGCTGTGGAGCAAAATCTCTTAAACATTTTAGAATAATTTTTTACATATTCTTTAAAAGCATCGGAAACATTATACGATCTTTCATGGTAAAGGTCATATAACCTTCGTCTGCTTTTATGAATTCCTACTGTCGCCCACTCATTAAATGCCTTGCGACTGTTTGTGGAGAATATTTTAGAAGTGAATGTTTTATTAAATTCATTGTTTATAAAGGTAAATAATTCTCTATATAAATAGTCTGTATTGTTCTTATAAGAAAGGGATGGAAGGATTTTTAACATATTACTTCTAAATCTCTCTAGGCGTTTTGCATTAATAGGAACAAACACAATTTTCTCAATTACCTGTTTTTTGTGCATATAAGGTAACGAAACCAGTTGTCCACAGTTTCCACGAGCTTGTCATTCATATCGTCCACTTCATTGTAGTCTTCTAGGCACTGAAAACGGTTTTGTAACTCGAGCTGAAAGGTTTCGGGACATTGGAACAGAGCACGAGGGGGACGGAGCGTTGACTTCATTAGACGAGACCTCTCCTCCTTAACGTTTAGGTTCAGTGTGCCTCTAACCATTCGGTGATCGCTACCAGTTTTCACCCTCGCGATCACGGAGATATCACTGAACAATTGTCGTCTGGTCGTCATAATGAAGTCAATCTCATTTTTTGTCGAACCGTCGGGGCTGGACCAGGCCTACTTCCTGTGGGGCCGCTTCTGGATGAAAGAGTTCATCATAAAGAGTCCCTCTTTCTCCATGAAGTCGGTCAGCTGCTGGCCCCTTGGGTTCCGTTGCCCTATTCCAAATTTCCCTACTTTTAGCTCACCGTTGTCTCTTGTGCATGGTTTTGCATTGAATTCTCCCATTAACACCGTATATTGGGTTTTGTAGGAATGCATGGCTCTAGAGATATCCTCATACATTTCCTCCACCTCCTCATCGGGGTGTGCCGAGGTTGGTGCGTAAACCTGTATGACCTTCAGCGAATACCGTTTGGTGATTCTGAGTATAAGGTACGCAACCCTCGTCGACACACTCTCAATCTGTACAACGTTGTTAACGAGAGACTTGTTGACGATAAATCCGACACCACTTTGGGTCAGATGGTCGCCCTCCCGGTGATAAAGCAAGTTGCCAGATTCGAGGATTACCGTGTCCTCCCCCTCTCTTCGGACTTCGGATAATCCTATAATATTGCAGCGTAACTTGTCTATCTCTTCTTCCAGCTCCACAATCTTCTCGTCAGTCCTCAGGGTGCGTGCGTTGTATGTTGCTAGGTCGAGTCGTCTTAGGTGGCAACCGAACCTCCACCTGAGATTCTTAGCACCCCCTGCCCCGCCGTTACAATGGTCACCACCGCAGCCAGGAATAGCGGGGTCGCCGGGGACTGGGGGCCGTTTCTTTATTACATTCATTCATAGGGGGGTAACAGCAAAAAGGCAATAAAAAAACCTTTTTGCTGTTATCAGGAAGATGCTGTTGCCCATCTCCTGCCTGTTTCCCTTTGTCGCCTTTTACGACACCCACGGGATGATATGGGGTAGTGGATATTCTTAACCGCCACTACACGGCAATATATATAATATATATATATATAGGTGTATATATAACACTATTGTCTTAAATAATTATTAAAAAAATGTCTTAGTGTACGTACGTTTGGAAGGCTGATTGAATAAACGTGTTGCACCCAAGTTGCCGCTTCCTACAAAATTCTGTCTGGAAATCTTTACTTCATTAATTCAAAATGTATTGCAAATGATTTTAAGAATATAAGAGAAGATATGAAGATATTCTGTTTATCACAATATTTAGTCCCTCATTTACAATCATTATCTTTTATTTTTTTGCCTTTTTATTCTATATATTATTATATCTGTCGCCCCAAACTTCACTTACCGGTAGAGGCTGCCCTCGAGTTTCCTTGCTTCTTCCCCATCCCCAGTTGTCGATTTTCACTACATCTATATCTGCACTCTATATGTACTCTATCTCTACTACGGATATCCTTATTACATATTCTATCACGCAGAGAAACTACAAGGAGAAAACTCCACTCCGTACGTAGTCCTTCACATCTAGCCGTGTGAGAAAGCTTAGAGTCGCTGTGCAACCTAAACAAATATAGAATGTAAAAACACACATCTAATATTCTGGAGCTAATATCAAATCGTAATATATCTTTAAGATAAATTGTATATGCCTGCAAGTTAGCTAAAATTTATTGTTCATCCGTCAAAATTGATTTATATTCGTATTGACAGACCTACTGTTCTGTTGGATTCGTGTAGTCGGCAATGACCACTTAACGGCTATCATTAAAATCAATAAGTTGACACAATTGTATACAAAATTGCCTGACTTTAATTGATACTATTCTGGTTTATTTAAAATTAGTTAATGTTTGTTTAAAACACATTACAAACACATCGTATAACGAATGCTTTCTTTAAATTTTATATTTAAGTTCGCTCTTTACCACTCACTTATCTCTCGACTTTTAACCTAACGTAACGAGTATGTACTTGCGTAATCACATTTTATAACTTTGCCAAATTCTCAATTATTACTATATAATATTTTATTAAACAGACATACTTTGAAATTATAAGAAAACTTTCTGTTTTGACTGAAATTGGCATGAAGAATTGAAAAAGGGAGATATAGATAATGATTGACGATGAAAACAGGTACGAGTATATTAGCCTGATGTAAATACTCGAATAATTCAAAAGATTAACTGAAATACGAGTATAACCATGAGATACGTATGTTTCATTATCGCATACTTTAACTCAATGCTTTGAATGAAAGGATCAGCTCGAGTGGCCAAATCTCTGGAAGCACGATTTTTGTTTTAGCGTTACGTTTTAAATCTCTGTAAGAACAATTTCTGTTTTAATGTTACGTTTTAAGTAAAGTAATTACGACAAATATTTAACGATATAAATTTTTGTACGTGGTAGAGTCACGCTGCAACTATGTTAAGGCTGTAAAACGAATGGGTCAGCTCGACCGTGGTAAGTCTACTCTCTCACAGGTTACCAGCGTAAAATAGCAGCTTAATGGTGTTTCATATTGTGAGTGTAGAGAACTGGAGATCCTTTATACTGGAAACGAGGCATACTAGTCTTTAGGGATGCCAACGCAACTGTATTTTGATTCTTAATCGAGGATGGCTGTTTATGTTCAGGGGCCACAGCATTCACTTACCACCAGGTGGACTGTGTGCTCGTTTGTTACCCTTATTCTATAAAAAAATGTAGGCGATTAAAAGACGTTCCAATAGTCTACGTAGCCTACATTAGATTAGATATATAAGAGTAGTTTTTGTAGGTTGGTAATGACGAAGTATTGCTTTGCATAGGTACTACTCTACGGTTTGGTCATTGTTTACGTTCCACCTTTTTATGAATTTCCTATGTATTCATGTGTATCTATCACGCTGGTGTTTTGTTGTAAATATTAACCCAAAAGGCACAATTAATTTATTAAAGTTTACTATACTTTACTTTTTTCGTAATTCGTATTCGTAACATGAATGGGTCACGACTAAAAGCAAAATTAATGAAGTCTGTGAATTTTAAATTATTTTGATTGAAAATGATTTCGGGAATATTAATTTATTTTCTTAGAAAGACCTGCATGTAAATATATTTTTTAAATTATAAAACAACAATAATTTTTTTTCTGTAAAAATATCACAAAATAACCTTTATCGTTTTATCTTTATATTACTTTCCGTTCCGTGAATCCGTCGATCCTTTATAAGAATCATAAAATATTATTTTAATATCTGTATCTATCTGTCCGTTTTATAATCAGAATAAAAACCTTTTGTTCGCTTGACTTTTCATTTCTGTTGTATTCAACAACAAAACAGAAATCTTTGTGCTGATCTTGGCTTTAGGTTTATTGCTTTCGTTTCTTATTATTTTTATATTTGTACTAAATTTTTATATCATTTACGGCCCCAGTACAACAACAGAATTGTGGAGGAAAATCAAACATGTTTTCATAACAACAAAACCGTCAGGTTTACCTACTCATATTAAGTTGAGCGAAGAAATACTTGAATAAGTAGATTCTACGTCTTCCTTGGTGTAACACCAATTTTTTGATTTAGTGTGATACCAAAAAAATTGACTCGCTTACACTGACTTTACTTACGTGGTAGAACAATGCTGCAGCTAAATACAATCTGCTACAAGCACACGAATGGGTCGGCTCGTCCGGGGTATTTGTAAGTCTTTGTGTCTTTGTTAAGTAAAGTTTTGTATTTCAAAAATTAGTGTGGTAGCAGTTGCCAAATTTTTGAGTTGAGATTTAAAATTTGAGATATTTTTCTCAATTAATCGGCTTTATAAGTAAAAGTTTATTTATTTGCGTTGTTTATAGAAATCTACTCAGGTTTAACTTAAGCTAGGTTTACTATTTAATATCGATAGAATAGTACTTTGTTAATGCATAATATAGAATGTCTACTTTACTGTAAATTCAATTAACACACACGAAATAATACCAGGAATTCCACTATATGTTCCTTGTATTTCTTAACCGAACAGTGGCTTTCATGCGATGAAATTCAATACATATAAATGCTATTCTATTTACATTATTCATCTTAATGTTTCTGAATTAACAACTACGTAATGTATTACTTATGTAATTGATTTGAGTTAATTCCTAAAAACTAAAATGAAAGGAAGAGACTCAGAGCAATAAGACCGTGAAAGCATAAGAGTAATTTTTTCTTTCTCTGTGCTCTAATTACGAGTTGCAACCGCTTTCACGGGTATAAAATGAAAAGAAAACTTTTACAGTAATGCAACGTGCTTTACTTCAGTGGCTTCTCACTAAATTTACCTCAACAGTCCTAAACTCTGATGAAGTGATCGAAATATAGACCTCTACTGAGGTACCTGCGGGTAAGAAGAGCCGGCGTTTTGCAAGAGCCACTACTAAAAAAAACACACTTCCAACGTATTTATTAGAACGCGCTTACGCACACATATAAAGGACCAATAGAAAGGCTTAATTACGCGAACGCGTGATCGTACGATCCGCCATCTTGTCAGTAGCCAACAATCCGTCCTGGCACTTGGTCTGCATCACTCATTAGTTAAAATTTCTCCACAAAGGTGATAAAGTGTGCGTTAAATATCCTGCTATTTGCAATAGTTGTTATTTTATAGTAAAAAATAGTGATTTGTGTTAACTAATCAAGGTAAGTTAAATTGCTATATTGACATTTAACAATTTTACATCGAAAAGCTTAAGCTTAGTCTCATAGTCTAATAAGAGCCACTTACAAGGCTGGTTAATAGGGCCGGCCCTTATTAAACTTACGGAATGTCTAGTTTTGCTAACATGCACAATTTTTTTTCTATATTATCCAGCATAATGATTTCTTATATTTACGCGAACACTACACATTCAATAAAACAATTTTTACGGATTTTATCGCGTTTAATTAACTTATTTTATATTCCCGACGTTTCGGTTGCTTTCCAGCAACCGTGGTCACGGAGGACTGAGGTGATTGACGTCCCGATGTCAAAGTTAACCCGCAGTACCTTCAGCTTTTTAATTATTAATTTTGGTCCGATCTACGCAGAATGAACTAACTGTGTCTTGAAGTCTTACAGTGGTATGCTTGGGTTTAGTTTTAATTTTATGAATTACAGGATCCCAAGCAGGTGGTAGTACCCAGCCTCCCTCTCTATTGAAATTAGGATGTTTTTTAATTTCAATAGCCTCACGTATCATCCTTGGCAGGAATCGATGTTCTTTCGCGAGGACTTGTGGTTTATCAAATCTAATGTAATGACGGGGGCCGTCTAGGATATGATCACAAACTGCAGACTTCCCGGAACGTTGGTGCTTCACGTCAGCTATGTGTTCTTTTACGCGGGTTTTTATTGATCGTTTTGTTTGCCCTATATATGAGAGACCACACTCACAATCAAGCTTGTATACTCCTGCATCTTGTAGAGGAATATTGCACTTGACGAATGGTAAGAACTGACTAATCTTTTTCGGCGGCTTGAAGAATGTTCTAATAGAAGCTCGCTTCAAGATATAGCCAATCTTGTCTGTGACACCTCTGACATATGGTAGTACAGCAGGCACACGCTCGACTGTGGCCGGCTTCACTCGGTCACTGTGACGTAGGTGCGGAACCCGAAGCTTGTTGTCGTGCAGAACCTGATTGACGTGCTGAAGCTCGGCGGCCAGGTGTTTGCTGTCACAGATCCCTCGTGCTCTCTGCAACAAAGATTTGCCCACGGTAGCTAACTGTGAAGGGTGATGGTGGGATTCACCGTTTAAGTATCGGTTTGTATGGGTCTTTTTTCTATACACAGTGTGACCTACGGTGTTATTAGGATTTCGAATGACTAACACATCTAGGAAAGCTAAAGAATTATTTGCCTCTAACTCCATAGTAAATTGAATTTTAGAGTTTATGGAATTAAGATGTTCTAAAAATGCAGTTACTTTGTCTGATGGTAAAATTGTGAAAGTATCGTCTACATACCGCTTGTAGAAACTTGGAGTTACTGGTGCAGTAAGCAGGGCTTTCTCCTCAAAGTCCTCCATGAAAATATCGGCGACAATGGGAGATACCGGTGAGCCCATCGCAACACCATCTACTTGCTTGTAAAACTGTTCCTTCCACAATAGGTAGCCAGATGTAAGGCAATGTCTGAGTAATACTGCATATTCTGCTGGCATGTTGTTTTCCTCTAGTTTTCTAGTTATAATTGAGATGCAGTCTTCAACAGGTAGGCATGTAAATAGAGACTGAACATCAAAACTGACCATAGTTTCATTGTCAGTAAGACATAGGTCTTTTATCTCACTGACAAAATGGTATGAATCCTTAGTGTGTGCTCTTGTATGTCCTCTGAGTGGTGATAGTACTTTTGCTAAGTGTTGAGCCAATCTGTAAGTTGGCGAATCGATCTGACTCACTATTGGACGTAATGGAGCGTTCGGTTTGTGTATTTTTGGTAACCCATACAACTTCGGCGGTTTGGCACACGTAGGTATTATCGAATTTACGTCTAGATTCAGTTTCTCGGAGTATTTCTTTATTAGATCGCTAGTTGTTTTAAGCGTATTAGTTGTAGGGTCTGTTTTGACCTTTACGTACGTACTTTCATCCGATAAAAGTTGTTGTATTTTAAAATTGTAATCCGACGTGTCCATTATAACCGTAGCATTACCTTTATCTGCGCGGAGAATCGTAAGATCTGGTCTGTTGCGTAAGTTTTTCAATGCAGTAAATTCATCTTTGGGAAGATTTAATTTCGGCGCTGAGCTTCGACGTAACAAGGACGAAATGTCTTGACGTATAGCCTCTAAATCTTCTTTACCAATATTATTTTTATACAGACAGTCCTCAACACTACAGATAATGTTTTCATACGGAATTTTTTTTTTGCGGTGTTATAGCGAAGTTCATACCTTTGGCCAAAACTTTTATTGTAGCGTCGTCTAGAGATTGTTTTGACGGGTTATAGACCGCACGTTGTTTATTACTCGCGTCTGTTGTCAATGATTGCGTTCCGTTATTACGTTGACATTGGCGTTGGACATTTGATTTGGTTGTTAGTTTTTGGTATTTATCTATATGTTTATTTTTGCATTCATTGTATTTAGTTGTTTCACGTTTGTCTAAAGTTTCCATGCAATTCTTATAATCAAATGTCGATAAAACTGTCTTTAGATCACTGGACGATTTGTCTATGGTTTTATTAATGAAACATAGATCGGTACGTTTTTGCTGAATCACCGTTATTAACAATTTTTTGCTTGCCTGATTTAAGATCTTAGCGCTTCCTCGAATGTCTTTTTTAGTAGATATCTTGACACACGTAGGAATGAGATTATGGTCTCTGCATCTCTTCAAGAAGTTTAAAGCTGTTATGTATCTTGCGCGCTTGGTTTTGAGATCTTCTAGTCGGCGTATTTTATTTGCTATTTCCAGTCCGTAACTGGTTTACATAATGATTTCTTATATTTACGCGAACACTACACATTGAATAAAACAATTTCTACGGATTTTATCGCGTTTAATTAACTTATTTTATATTCCCGACGTTTCGGTTGCTTTCCAGCAACCGTGGTCACGGGGGACTGAGGTGATTGACGTCCTGATGTAAAAGTTAACCCGGAGTACCTTCAGCTTTTTAATTATTAATTTTGGTCCGATCTACGCAGAATGAACTAACTGTGTCTTGAAGTCTTACAGTGGTATGCTTGGGTTTAGTTTTAATTTTATGAATTACAGGATCCCAAGCAGGTGGTAGTACCCAGCCTCCCTCTCTATTGAAATTAGGATGTTTTTTAATTTCAATAGCCTCACGTATCATCCTTGGCAGGAATCGATGTTCTTTCGCGAGGACTTGTGGTATTCTATTCCCAGAAGAACTTTGGTAAACCACCTGAAATCTGGAAAAGTCGAAAAACAAATAGGACGTCGTACAGTTTTAAACCCAGAGCAAGAAAATGATTTGGCGTCGAGAATCAAAACGCTTGCTTCCATAGAATTCCCTTTAACGCCAAATGTCATTCGTCGTCAAGCTTATGTGTTTTGTGAACAACACAAAATTCCTAATAATTTTAATTCGACAGCAAGGCGAGCGGGTAAAGACTGGTTAAAATTATTTTTAAAAAGACATCCCGATATATCAAAGCGCAAGGTTCAAATCTTAAACCCAGGAAGGGCGCAGAAGCTGAACAAGCATATTGTCATGCAGCATTTTGTTGAATATAAGAAAATATACGAAGCGCTAGAGATCGGGCAACATCCGCAACGCTTATACAACATAGATGAAAAAGGCTGCCGTCTCACCATTCACAACCAGCCAGTGGTATTGGCACAGAAAGGTGCTAAAAGAGTGCATATGGTTGCACCAGATCACGCAGAGAATGTCAACGTGGCTGTGTGTGTAAATGCATTAGGTAGTCCAATTCTCCCAATGATACTATTCAAGGGGAAAAGGTTAAAGCCGGAATTTAATGATAATTTGCCTGCAGGATCACTCGTGAAAATGGCAAAGAAAGGCAGCATGACTTCATCACTGTTTATAGATTTCATACATATTTGGGAAAATATAAAGCGGCCGGCAGGTGTCTTCTAGTTTTTGATGGCGCTTCATGTAATTAAGATTATAATATTGTTGATGCAGCCGAGCAACACGATATTATATTATACTGCTTGCCATCAAATACTACGCATGAGCTCCAGCCTCTAGATAAAAGCGTAAACAAATCGTTTGAACACCACTGGGACGAAGAAGCCTTACTTTATTTATACCAAAACTCAGGGAAAAATCTAACCAAAGCGCAGTTCAACTACATTTTTAGTAGAGTCTGGTCAAAATGTATGACCTTAGAAAATATAGTTAGTGGGTTCAGAGCTACAGGGTTGTATATATGTTGTATATATGCAATACCAGATGAAGCATATGCACAATGTGCATTAACTGAAAGACATATAGCAGTAGAAAACGTAACGACAGAAAAGGATCGATCCTTGCACAAAGCTGGTCCTAGTTCTATGAATTTACGAAGCGCATCACAAAGACCTGCTAGTGATAGTTCAGATTCTGAGAAGACATTTTTTGAAGAGCAAGAAATTTATTGGTCTTTACAAAACTCGCCAACTCCTGGTTCCAGTGGTATGAATTTCGGCATGCAGTACAAAGACCTAGTGTTAATAGTTTAAATTGCTACAATACCTTTTTTGAAGACCATAATCCATGTTCACCGTCTTTGCTATATCAGAATGACTCATTGTCGCCTGTTTTAACTAGCACAGAGGTAAAAAGACGTTTAGTTGAATACAGCTCATCAGATTCTGATCTTGCAAATTCAAACATACCAACAGGACTAAGCAAGTCTGACGCAACAATAATTTACAGCTCTGAATCTGATACTTCTATTACTGAAGTACTTGTTCCACGGCAAAAACTTATACCTCAGTATATCCGTGATATATACAGTTCTTCTGATGATGAAAATATGGACCCTATTTCAAGACAAGAACATACTCCTAAGAAACAGAGAATATGTAACGACATCTATAACATAAGACAAGTATGTGATAGCTCTTCAACATCAAGCGGTTCAGAAGACATTTTGCCATTATCGAGATTGAAAGCAAAAAAAGTCTTAAAGTCTCCTTTTCAACAGTTACTACCAACACCGAATTTTGTTGTGGTAAAACAAAAGAAGCCAAGACTTAAGTCAATCAATTATAAAGGCCGGATAGTGACTAAAGATTTGTTTGCAGAAAGAGTTATTACAAAAGAAAATAATACAAAACAGCAACATAAGAAAAAAACAGAGGATGAACAGCCACATGCAAAAAGAAATAAAAAAGAACTACAGTCAAAGAAGAAGAATGAAAAATGTATAAAAAACTCACGTCCAGTCAATAGAAATGAAGAAAAGAGGCAAAATAAAGAACATGAGTTAGGAAACAAGACGATAAAGAAAAAAATTAATGATTTCAGCCAAATAGATACTACTGATAAATGGTACTGTCACGCTTGTAACACAGAAAAACTCGAAGACATGCGACAGTGCCCAGGATGCCAAAGATGGTTTCACGAAGAATGTGTGGGTCTGACAAAAGAGGATATTGATTTTGAATGTCCTATGTGCAATTAGTTGACCAACGCTGAAAAAATAATAGTTCTTTTGTAGTGTCAGTTAAGACTTATGTGCTATTTTTTATAATACTTAGTTCATTTTAATCTCAAAATGCTCTTATCCTATCTCATTAGTATAACCACAAATTTTTTATAAAAAAAATGTTTTATTTTTCTTTGCTTTTATTAAAGATTTAAATAGTGTTACGAACAAATTGTTCAATATAATATGAATATTTTGGAATATTCATCTATTTAATACTGTTTCATGCAATATTTTGTTATGTTATTCTAATAAGGCTCATCGATGTTTTTCTAATTAATTAGGATTTTTCGAAAGCGTGATTTGTTAGAAAATGAAAATTTATGTTAGCAGAAAAAAGGAGACTTTGTGTTCCTACTGATAAAATTTATTAAAATTGTATTTTGATATGGACCTTATTTAACCATCTGGGTTTAATAAGGGCCACAAAGAGGGTTTTAAAAATCCTTATTTGTAAAGTTAAATTACGTAAGAAACTAACAAAGTTGACCTTTTTTGAACTTTTAATAAAGAAAATATTTGTCTGGTGTCTTGTTTTTTATTCGTATCGTTTAAATTTTTAAAATAATGAGTTTTAAATTAAGGTGGCTCTTATTTGCCGCAGGTACCTTGGTTAATGTTAATATTCTTTTAATTTTTTTTTGGGCTGTTTTATTTTTAGCTTTAAAATAGAATGCATCCTTAATGATTTTACTATTGGGAGCAATAAGTTGGACTTATATAAGCAACTAGTAAGAATTTAACTTAAAACTTGTCAAATTATAAGATCAGTAAAACGTTTTAAATTTTAATTATTTTTAATAAAATGATGAACAAGCCCACAGTTCACATGATGGTAAATAGATGCTGTGGCCCATAGACATTTATCTGCGATCAAATGTCAAATTGCAGCTGAGGACTCGGATGGAATGCTTTGTTTATTAAAGAAGTTAATTTTAAGGGCTCTATACAGTATGTTTTAGCACCGGCTTCAGAGTGTGAAATATTAAAAAAGATATTTTATTCCTTTCTTAGTTGTTTGATACCGGCTGTTAAATTTTATTAAAAGTAAGTGTATTTTACCATGTTGAGTGAACTAAAGAATACCACAATCTCAATATCGTCTAAAGAGTTCCAATAAAAATTTCATTCCCTATTTTATATTTTATATAGGGGTGGAATTCATCTTAAAAATTTATATGGGACCCACCTTATCCAGTTATCTACACTCACTATACGAAACACAGCTGCATTAAGCTGCTATTTTACGCTAGTTTTCTGTGAGGGCTGGTTCTTCCCCGGCCAAGCCAACCGATTCGTGTTACGATCATACTATATCTGTAACATGGCTCTACTACGTATAATGATATGATACCGGTGACTCCAATACTTCCTACACCACGGTGTCGTCAAAACGCGCAGCGAAGCGCGCCGCGAAAAACCGTTCGGCCCTTGCCGCTCCCCCCGCTCCCGCAGCCCCCGTCGCTGCCGCGTCTTCCCCCGCAGCTCCCGCCGCTGCCAAGACCCCTTTAGACATCGCAGCGCCGTCGAAGCCGGCTTCACGTTGCGCTTCTCAACTCGCTAAAAAGCAAGTCCCGCCTCCTGTCTTCTTAAGAGAAAAAATGAATTCACCCGTCTCAGCAAAATTTGCTACGATTCGGGTATAAAGTACGACCAAGCTACGAACATGGGCGTAGCCATTAAAATAGTTCCACAATCTATTGACGATTTTCGCCGCATTACTAGACTGTTTACGAACGAACGTGTATCTTACCACACATACGCTCTCCCGGAAGAGCGTAAAGTTAGAGTAGTCATCCGAGGAGTCCCATTTGAGCTCTCCAACGAAGAAATCCTTGAGGACCTTAAGTCGCAAGGATTTCCATTTGAGGCTGTGCATAAAATGCACAGCAGAACCGGGTTGAGATACCCAATAATTTTAGTCATCTTAACAAACGTTCCGGAGGCGAAAGCTATCTTTCGACAACTACGCACCGTGTGCGGCTTGTCGGGAGTTAGAGTTGAGCCACCGCATAGGCGCGGTTTCCCGGCGCAGTGCCATCGCTGCCAGCTCTATGGGCATGCGGCGGCCAATTGCTCCGCTCCACTCAGGTGCGTTAAGTGCCTTGACCCGCATACCACTAAGGAGTGCCCCCGGCCCAAAGATGCCGTATCCCCACCCGCGTGCGTGCGAGAAGTAATCGTAATATCGCCTTAGCGGTCGCATCGTCCAGAATTGCTGCTACTCTGCTGGAAGGAGGTAAAACTGTTTAAAAACCACGTTTAAGGGGCTACTCCATGCGAACGACCTTGAGCATTTGACCGACACGCCGCTCGCTACAATATATTGCGTAAGAAATATGTAAGTATTTCTACGTGGTAGAGCCATGCTGCAGCTATATCTCTACGTGGTAGAGCCATGCTGCAGCTATATTATGGTTGTAGCACGAATGGATCGGCTCGACCGGGGAAGGACCACGCTCTCAGGGTCCCGTCAGACCACCGCAGGCGCCCATTAGGCCATCTCCGGGCTTTTCAAAGCCTTCACAGGCTCCAGTATTTCCCTGGGGCCCTAAAAAGGTTGACCCACCGCGGGCAACCTCCTCCGCTCCTCAAGCGACAACACAACAGCCATCAATGGTCGATGACCTTAACACGGTTTACGCCGCGATAAGGAACATCGACATTAATGAAATTGCAGTGTTAGCGAGTAAATTGCGCGCTGCTAGGTCCCCTCAGGACCGCTTATTAGCTCTCGTAGAGCATAATAATCTATTGCGCTCATTGTACGTTAAGTTAACTTAATTAACTTAACTTCACAATGACAGAACCATCTGTTATGCCTATAAGTCACGAACGTATAAAGCCTAAAGGGTTATCGCTTATCTCTTTTAACATTCGCGGATTACGTAATAACCTTCCAGAGCTTAAGCTCTTCCTCAGAGATCACGCAGCCGATTTTCTCCTCTTACAGGAAACCAACCTCAAATATAAGGACTCTAAAGGCCTTTCTATTAATAATTATTCTCTTCTTCGTAATGACAGGGACGACCGCCGAGGCGGCGGAACGGCCATTTATTACAAGAGGACATTACATTGCTCTCATATTGATACGCCACAGCTTAGCAATATGGAAGCTACGATATGCAGGTTAGCTATGACGGGACATCAGTCTTTAGTCATAGCCTCCTGTTACATTCCCCCTGGAAACGAACCCTCAAAAAAGATTTCGAGTCTATATTATCGCTAGGCAATTCAGTCATTATGTTTGGAGATTTTAACTCTAAACATAATGAATGGACATGCCGTGCAACTAACCGTAGTGGCAAGAAACTGCTTGAAATAACGCAGTCTCTTGACATTACAGTCCACAGTCCACTCGGTGCTACTCACTATCCCGATGCCACCGATTATGCCCCCGATATACTAGATTTTGCGTTACTCAAAGGAGTTTCACTTAACCTCAGGTCAATCGAGACACTAGACGATATAGGATCCGATCACCGACCGGTCTCCCTTATTCTTGGCCATCAGCCACCCCCCATAACAACAACGAAAACATTTACTAATTGGAAAGGCTTCAAGGATTCTCTAGCTAAAGCTATAGACTCTCAGAACTCCCCCACCTACCTAGCGTCGGACTTAGACTTAGACAGTCCTGAAAAAATCGACACCGCGGTCGATTCACTATCAACACTCATTAAATCCTCCCTTAAGGAGAATGAAAGAGTCGTTCCGGTTGCTAATAATAGTGGGCTTCCCCTACATATAAGCAACCTATTAAAAGCTAAAAAAGCTGCTTTCCGGAGAGCAGCAAAATATCTCACCCCCAAATATAGGCACACGGCGAATCGTCTTCAACGAAAACTCCGTTTCCAACTCTCCGAACTTCGAGACCTCCAAAGGAGTGAACTCATGGAGAATATATCTCCCTCACATACAGCGTACTATAAGATGGCTAGAGCCCTCCGTATAGACGCTACAACTCACACTCCCCCTCTCTCTCGCCCCGACGGTACGGTTGCCTTCGAGGACGACGAAAAGGCTGAGTGCTTCGCAGACAGCATTGCCGAACAATGCTCTTCTAGCTCTCAACCTGTCGACCCCTCACATATTCAGGAAGTGGAGGATGAGGTCCGCCGTCGGAACTCACCCCCCACAACCTCTGACCCCATTACTGTGTCCAATGATGAGATCTCGTCCCTCATCAAAGGACTTAAGCCCAAAAAAGCTCCGGGCGCGGATGGCATCTCCAACCAAGCCCTTAAACACTTTCCAGAGCAGGTGTTAACCCTCTTAGCTATTATTTTCAACGCCTGCTTCAATATTAGCTACTTTCCAACTACGTGGAAAGAGGCAACTGTCATTGGTATTCCCAAGCCAGGCAAGCCTCTTAACCTCCCCTCCAGTCATCGTCCCATTAGCCTCCTCAAGGCTATGGGCAAGCTCTTTGAAAGAGTCATTCAAAATCGAATGAGGAGCTATCTGTTTCCCACAGACGGTGACCCTATTGTCATCCCCCACCAATTTGGTTTCCGAGCGAAACACTCCTGCCCCCAACAAGTTCACCGCATTGTGGAATACATCCTCAGCGGTTTTTATCCTCGTCGACATAAAACCATCGCGGTCTTTTTCGACATCGCGAAAGCCTTCGACCGAGTTTGGCACGAAGGCCTTATATTTAAACTATACAGAGTAGGTCTCTCCGATCGTCTAGTACGTCTCGTGGCCTCTTACTTACAACATCGTACCTTTCGTTTTAGATACGAAGGCACGCTCTCCTCTCAGAGACCCATCAAAGCTGGTGTTCCTCAGGGATCAGTACTTGCTCCCCTCCTCTACATCTTGTACACCAACGACATTCCTATCCCGTCGAACGGTGTACAGCTCTCCCTATTTGCAGATGACACTGCCCTTTACTTTAAAGGTCGCACACTTCCATTCGTAAGGAACAAGATCCAAAAGTCAGTCGATGACCTAGGAGCTTGGTTCCAAAA